AAGCAATCTGGGGGCCAGAACTTCACTGACCCATCACCAAGCTAAGTAGCTGCACATGTAAGAAACATCAAGCTGGGGCCAGCAGGTGGCGCTACGGTTAGGGCGCCAGATCCCACGTGGCCAACTCCATGGTTTGGTCCTGGACCTGATGGCTGGAAAAACACTGGAGTATTCGTGCCTGTGTGGAGGAGGCATTCTCCTGAGAGGAGTATAACAGAGAAGGGATTGCAGCATGGCCATCCCCACACCCCAACCCCAGAGTGATTTCTCACTTTCCCTCTCATTCTGTCTCTCTTCAATGAGCACACACGTCTTCTAGCAAAAAAAAAAAAAAAAAAAAATCAAATTAATGTTTCTTGATTTAGTAAAGACAATATATAGCACAGCATATAACAGAGTTTCCTGAAAAATCATAGAACACTTAAATTATACGTATGAAAGTGAAATTGAAAATTTAACTGTATAAAACAGTACCACTGGGGCCAGCAGGTGGCATAGTGGTTACAGTGCTGGACTTCCACATGACCCACAGCAGTTCGAGTCCCAGACTAGTGGCTTGAAAATCACATCAGGCGTGTGTGCATGCATTCCCAAAATCCCAGGAGGAGAATGAGGGGAATGGACTGCAAAATAGCCATCACCTCTTGGGGTGGTTTCTCTCTCACTGTCTTGCTCCAGCAAGCACACGTGCCCAACAGAAACCCTTCACCTCAAAGAGAGAGAGAGAGAGGGAGCTGTACCACTAATCAGGCTACAAGTGGTATGGAGACTAACGTGCTGGATCCCACCTCACACATGGGCAACCACATGGTTCGAGTCTCCGACCCAAGGCTGGAAAATAACACTGGGTTCGTGTGCTGGCGTGCCCCAGACCCAGACACTGGAAGAGACTGCAGCATGGTCATCCTCCCTGAGGGGTGATTTCTCACTTCGTTTCGCTCTCTTTCCTGTCTCTCTCTGGCGAGGGCATACACTCAAACACAAAACTTAAAAAAAATAAACTACCACTTATCCTAATAAAATGTAATGCTAATATCATAATAAAATATTAAAATAAACTATGTTCTTACTTCTCAGCCATAAGAGCATATTTTCAAAATATTTCAAAATTATATATTGCTATAAATTAATTTTGGCATTTTAATTTATCTAAATTAAATCATGTCTCCTAAAATAACTCAAATGTTTGCACTACATATTATCTTTTTTTTTTTCTTTTTTTTGGGAGAGGTTTTCGCTATAGGGTGCGTGCGTTCGCCAGAAAGACAGAGACAGACAGACAGAAAGCGAGAAATCACCCCCCCACCCCGGGGGATGGGCATACCGCAATCCCTTCTCCATTCTCCTCTTGGGATCTTGGGCACGCATGCGCCCAGCATGAGTTTAAACCACCTGGTACTGGACTCGAACTGCGGGTTGGCTACATGGGAGTCCTGCAACATAGCCATTACTCTACCTGCTGGTCCCTACATATTATCTTGAAGCACACACAGGAGAGGGCTATATTCCCGATCAGTACCGCCAACAACACTGCTCAAGTTCTCTATCAGTTTTAAAGACAAAGAACAGCAGCAGCCTACACAGATGCAGGCTCTGTAGGCACACGCGTGTGGTGCTGACATATCATCTGGCCTCATGTAGAACAGTAATAAGATGTAAGAATTGCACTGACTGGCAGGAGTTTTAAAAATGATGAGTAAATATTAAGAATTTAGGGCTGGTCCTGCAGTGTGTACCAGGATCCTGACAGGACAGATAATTAGAGAAAGAAAGAAGTGCAGTATAACCAAGTCTTGCGCTCTCTCTGTCCTCCCCTGCTCGCTCTCTCTGTCTTCACCTGCTCTCTCTCACTCTGTCTTCCCCTGCTCTCTCTCTGTCTTCCCCTGCTCTCTCTCTCTCACTCTCTGTCTTCCCCTGCTCTCTCTCTGTCTTCCCCTGCTCTCTCTCTGTCTTCCCCTGCCCTCTCTGTCTTCCCCTGCTCTCTCTCTGTCTTCCCCTGCTCTGTCTTCCCCTGCTCTCTCTTGCTGTCTTCCTCCGCTCTCTCTTGCTGTCTTCCCCTGCTCTCTCTGTCTTCCCCTGCTCTCGCTCTGTCTTCCCCTGCTCTCTGTCTTCCCCTGCTCTTTCTCTCTCTCTCCTGCTCGCTCTCTGTCTTCCCCTGTTCTCTCTCTGTCTTGCCCTGCTGTCTTCCCCTGCTCTCTCTGTCTTCCCCTGCTCTCTCTCGCTCGCTCTCTGTCCTCCCCTGTTCTCTCTCTCTCCTGCATGAGTTAGTGCTCTCTGGCATAAAAAGAAAAAAAAAAAAAAAAAAAAAAAAAAAAAAACAAAAAAAATACATTTTCAACATAGCGTGGTGGTTAAGGTAGCTGGATCCCACATAACTGACCGTGTGGTTCATGTCCCAGTCTGGGTGGCTTGAAAAACATACAGGGCACATATACATGCATATCCAAAATTCTGACAGGAGAATGGAGGAGTGGAGTAGAAGGGATTGTGGTGTGGCCATCCCTCCTGAAGGGCGTGTGGTGTGGCTATCCTTCCTGCAGGGGGAGAGGAGTTTTCACTTTCTCTCTCTTTCTCTCTCCAGCAAGCACATATGCTCAGAACAAATATTTTAAAAAGGAAATAAAAGAAACTAGAAAAATAAACTCAAAGCAAGAAAGAAGAAAGTAATAAAGATTAGAGCAGAGGTAAATGAAATAGAGAATAAGAAACAATAGAAAAAAAGCAACAAAACCAAAAATAGGTTGTATGAAAATAACTGAGCAATTTATAGCTAGATGAACCAAGGGGAGCAAAAAGAGAATGAGAAAGCTCAGATCATTTAAGTAGAAATAAAAGTGGGGACATTAATACTGACCCTCCAGAAATAGAAAGGGAATACTATGAATAATTGTATGTCAATAAATAGATACATTAAATTAAATGGATGAGTTTCTAGAACACACAAACTACCATAACCAGCCCAAGAAGGAATAAAAAACTTGGCCATCCTCAGTGGGACAGCAGTGATGCAATGCCCTACAAAGACAAGGCCATATGGGGAGGTCCCAGGTTCATGTCCCAATTTCCCTG